GACAATTGGTCGTCGCCCAGGACGCCAAGCTCACGAAGCTCCACGTCGTGCTGTTGGGCGCGCTGCGGGTCCACTGCCACGACTCGCGCGGCAACGAGATCACCGTCGGCCACCTCCAGTCGGGCGACTTCTTCGGCGAGTCGAGCCTGTTGAACAACGACGACAAGGACCACGGTTTTTTGCCATTAGGGTCGACAGCGTCCGTGACGACGGAGAGCGAATGCCTCTTCATCTACTTCGACGCGGACAAGATGCGCGAGGTCATCGAGACGATGCCACCGTGACGAAGCAGATCGACGAGTACATCAAGCAGAGAATCACGGCCCAGCTCCTCGCCATGAGCCTCACTTTATTCGACACCATGCGGCCCGCGGCCATCGCGCTCTTCACCTCCGTCTTCGAGATCCACACGTACGGCCCGGGCGACGTCATCGTCAAGGAGGGCCAGTCGGGCGACTTCTTCTACGTGCCGGGAACCTACATGAAGATTAGCAGGCCCGTGAGCCGCCAGCGCTAGTGGCGGCAGCCGGCCCGCCGCCACAGCCTTTTGCGCAGCAGAGGCAACCGGGAGGCGGGGCACATTTATCAGCAGAGGCAACAGAGTTTGTTCCCGGGGGGGGGGCAACACCAGCAGCGAGCAGCGGCCCCGGCTCCGGGCCCGGCCCCAGATTCGCCAGCGCGGTATCGAGCGCAGGTCGTCGATCCGCCGGCGTCGCCTGGGTTGGAGCTGGCGAAGACGGTGTATGCGAATATCAATAGTAAGTGGTGCGAGGTCAATGTCATGGGCCACCGCAATGGGATGATCAGCGTGTCATGGACTGGCGGGCAGTCGCAGCAACTGTGTTTTACAGAGTTGCCTCGGAGCGAGGTCCGGACACTTGAGGAGCACAACAGTTTGAAAGGGCGTTTTCTTATTGCGCAGTTTCCCATGCTTGCGCGTTTCTTCGGTGGTGCCGGAGAGGCGGAGCAGCAGCAGTACATCAGAATGCTAATATCAACGACGGACCCTATTTTCGCCCCTCGGGGTGGTGTCCAAAAAGGGAATACGGGGACTATATACCGTATGAAGTTGCAGGCGCGAGTCTAGTCAAGTTGTCGCCCCTGTGAGCTCAGGCGCAGGCTTGGCCCGCGCTGGCGGTTCTCGCGGTAGCCCCGGGCTTCACGGACGACCCACCTTCGCAGCGGCGCTGCAGATGGAGGTACATCGGTCGGGCGGTGCACCAGTTAGTGCGGGAGAATCATCTGCAGCAAGTGATTTTCCCTGATTTTAATGCAGCTGTGCTAGCGGTGTCGCGAGCTGTTCAGCGCCGGTCTGAGGCGACGGGATTTTAATGTGGCTTCTCTCGATCTCGCAAAATTTTCTTCGAATTCGATCGGTGTCTACACAAAAAGCACGAAAGCACATTTTCAGTCGGTGTCCCCTTGGTCCTGCGAGTCTGGCGAAAAGTCACTGGCTTGAGTCTCGTGCGTGTTGTCATCTTCCCTTTCCCGCTGTAATAGACACTGCAAACGTGGGCTTGGAGCGACCGCGCAATGTGAAGCCGCCAAGCATAGACGCCTATGCCAGCAGCAATTGCCTGCAGGTGGCTAAAAAGGCTAAGCGAAATAGTAAGATGAATAAGAGGAGGATGGCGAGATGTTGCGATACGTCAGTGTCATCAACCTTGTAATCAGGAT